TGCCAGCTATGCTAGAGTACAGGTAAAAGCTCCAGCTTCATATGCAAGCAAAACCAACACCATGGGGGTCAGGTGAGTTCAGAGCGAAATTTTGCATGGTCTCATATATTCCACGGTAGAAAACAACAGAAACAGACAGCTTCACACATGTCTGTAACTGAGGTTTTGGCCACATTTGAATAAGAATTAGCCCCATGTGCACAGGTAGCCACCAGCGATCCCTCTCCCGTCACATAGTTAACGGGACGATTTAGATACTCTTACAGTTCGCCTTTAATAACTTACATTCGGCTGAGCATCTGGTGGTGCCGCTAGAAAAATGTCGAGAAATGAAATCAATACATTTTGTACGCCAGCGTACCAGAAAGTTGAAATCCTGTCGATCGATTTGGTCAAGAAATCGCCCATGGCCGTAGTTTTCGAAACGATGGGTTTCCCATGGCAACAATGTTTTGTATAATGCTCAAATACTGCCTCATAATATACAGATAGCAGATTATTTTCAACATGAGAACCCGAACTCATCCCTCAGAGCGCCAAGATCCAGAGACCCTTCTCGCTTGCGTAAATTTCTAACACGTGACAAAGCGTTGGCCACGCTATTTCTTAAGATGGCCCTGCGAGAACCCATTCGTTTACCAACCCTTACTAACTCTGTCCTTCCAGTCGTCGACATTTCTGTTCAAAACTTCGTGCAAATTCGGTTTTACTTTTATAGGCAGGAATATCGTGACAGTACACTCCAAAATTGTCCAAAGTCTCTCGTCCGTACGTGTCAGGTCACGCCAAACTAAATACAATATTTTGTGGCTCATCGGATTACCCTCGATTAGCGATGAACAATATCCATTTTTTATCGTAAGGTCTCGAATTACTAATATCTTTTTCTGTGGATTACGACCCATTCTAAACTTGTCATAAAAGTGCAGCTTAACATCGCCTTGAAATGGAAAGTCGTTCCTTTACCACAAAACAATTTTGGAAATTGAAAAATATTGGCTTTTAACAACTATTGTTATCATCAAGTACGCAAAATGCAGTGACCAAAATTCGGGAAGGAACCAAGTTATAGGTTCTGTCAACGTAATCGGAATTCGCCCCAACAGTTTTAGAAAGTGACATTCCAGCTTGTTACTCTACTGATTTCGTGGGTAGATCACTTGTGCGCAATGTAAAAGACATTTACTGATACCTTACATCATTGAACGGTTTGCTCTGACCGGTGATTTTGCGACTGCGCCACATGATTTTGACGCACGTGGCACCGCTCGCGCCAAAATCTTTCACTGCGCCGACGGGCACGGAGATGGCTGAAGGCTTCGCAGCCGGAAGCTCCGCCCATAATTTCTGCGTGCGGAAGCCATCAAAGCGTAGCTGGTATGGAGCCGATATATGGCATGGCCGGCTCAGCGCTCTGACTCTGAGAATATGTTAATGCGTGCTTCATCCGTTCATGGCCCTTCGCTCGTCTTTTGCAAGCCGAGGTCATCGCGGCTACAGTGCCAACCAGAGTGCGCTGAACCGAGCGCTGAGTCGCGTCTACAGTGCCAGCCAGAGTGTGCTGGGCCGAGCGCTACAGTGCCAGCTAGAGTGTGCTGGGCCGAGCGCTACAGTGCCAGCCAGAGTGTGCTGGGCCGAGCGCTACAGTGCCAGCTAGAGTGTGCTGGGCCGAGCGCTACAGTGCCAGCCAGAGTGTGCTGGGCCGAGCGCTACAGTGCCAGCCAGAGTGTGCTGGGCCGAGCGCTACAGTGCCAGCTAGAGTGTGCTGGGCCGAGCGCTACAGTGCCAGCTAGAGTGTGCTGGGCCGAGCGCTACAGTGCCAGCCAGAGTGTGCTGGGCCGAGCGCTACAGTGCCAGCTAGAGTGTGCTGGGCCGAGCGCTACAGTGCCAGCTAGAGCGCGCTGAGCCGTTCACCGTTCACCTTTTTCAAAAGCGTTCACCTTTTTTCGGAAGTCCCGTTGCTTAGAAACACATGATACCGCAAAAATCGGCAATTCTAGTTCACGAAATCGATTATTTTACTCCAATGTACATTGTTGAGAACCGTGAACAAGGTGTTATTAAAGAAATCCTTTCATATGGTTATAACTCACGCGGTGATTTTCTAAGCGTATGTATGGATTTCAATACCCAGTATTTGCCGACTGCGCCCACAGCGCGCTACGTTCGAGAGCAGTGTCAAAAACGTGTCATCGACCACCCCCGTTCGATCACTGACGCATCCATGCGCGGACAAGTGTTTGGACCGCCCTGGGATCTGCAGACGGCGCCTTTGCCTGCACCGTGCTGATGGCTACACGCGCTCATCCGCCCTGGCTGCCAAAATCCCTGACATCAATCTTGAGGCAAAACCCAAGCGGGTGGATTCATGACCCCGCGCCCTCGTGTGCGTGACCGGCGCGCACACTTCGAGCCACGCTGTTCTCGACACGATTCTCCGATCTGGCTGTTTGATGTGGGCGGAGGGGTAAGATCAACTAATCAAACACGCCATTTGTA